AAAAAAAAAAAAAGAAATATGTAGTCACGGAGTAAGAGGCAGCTGTGCTTTAAAGCCTATAAAACATGCCTGTGGGCACAAGCTGGTTTTGTTGGATGTATAACTTCTGTGACTACACTTTCATCACTGTGTTGTTTTGGAGGTTTTTTTGGAGACAGGGTCTTGCTCTGTTTCCCAGGCTAGAGTGCAGTGGCGCAATCATAGCCTCTGTTACCTTGAACTTCTGTTACCTTGAACTCCCACGTCAGCCCTCTGAGTAGCTGGAACTACAGGCAGGCACCACCACAACCAGCTAATTTTTAAATTTTTTGTACAGATAGGGGTCTTGCTACGTGGCCCAGGCTGGTCTCAAACTTCTGGTCTCAAGGGAACCTCCTGCCTCAGCTTCCCAAAGGGCTGGGATTACAGGTGTAAGCCACCACGCCCGGCCTACCAGTGCATGTATCTATAGATACATCTTGATTCTTCCAGATGCACAGAACATTAAGAGCTACTCCTATGAAAATAAAATTTAACTCCATTTAACTTAAAAATACATGTGCTAGACAGAACAATGCTGCCAGGGGCTCGGGAGAAGTGCGTGGAAGCAGCTGCGTCCTGCCTGCAGTGTTCACTGTGGATGAGGGAGACGTTCGGGAGCGCAGTGGATGGTGCTTGCACAGCACTGTGAAGGCGCTGAATGCCACTGACTTGTTCGCCTTACAGTGGCTAATTTGAGGTTGTTTTTGATCTCAATAAATTATTTTTTAACCAAGTAATTTTAATGGAAAATGTACTGTTTCAAATCCTGAAGACAGAATTGGAAACCTATATAATGGGCCATGGTTTTTAAACCTCTCCAAATTCCCTCTGATACAAACAGAGCAACTCGGAGAATAAAAAACCCAACTACAGACATTGTCTACCAAACAGAAACATACCCATGAGGTCTGTCCACACTCCCCACACAAGCGGATGGGGCAACCCTGAAGCAGCTACAGGCACGCGGAGCACCGGAACCTGTGCGGGAAGAAGAGGGAAGCACCGGAGGACGGGAGGACCTCACAGGCCACCCCAGCAGCCCCTCACAGGATAACCACAAAGGAGGAAAAAAGAGCCAAAAATCTAAAGATGAGGCCAATTTTTTGTTTTTTTTAGACAGATATTGCTGTGTCACCAGGCTGGAGTACAGTGGTGCGATCTCGGCTCACTACAACCTCTGCCTCCGGGGTTCAAGAGCTCCTCCTGCCTCAGCCTCCCGAATACCTGGGACTTCAGGTGCACACCACCATACTCAGCTAATTTTCTGTATTTTTAGTAGAGACGGGGTTTCACCATGTTGGCCAGGATGGTTTCGATCTCTTGACCTTGTGATCCACCCACCTCAGCCTCCCAAAGTGCTGGGATTACAGGCGTGATCCACCATGCCTCACCTAACAAGGCCAATATTTTAATACTTCACAAAAACAATGAAGAGGGAGCTGTAGAACCATGAAACTACAAATGCTGTCTGGAGCCCCCAGCTCCGCCCTCCAAGCCCGCAAAGCCCAGGAATCCAATGTCAAGTCACAGTAGGTAACTAAAAAGAAGTATGGTTGAATCCCACACACAATTATCCTAAGAAAAAAAGAGTGAGGAGCAGAGTAACATGTATAAGCCAATAAAATAATTTTGCCAAAAAAAACTAACCACAAAATAGGAGTAATAAAGAATATCAGGAAAAAAGAGCATAATCCAAATCACAGGTCACAGAACTTAGGAAAAATTACATAAAGGAAATATTTCAGAAAAGAAGACAAACTAAAAGCAACACAATGAATAAACACAAGACAGTATGCTTTGCAGGAAACTGAGGGTGAAAAAGAGGAAACTTTTTTAAATAATTGGTGGAAAAGATAAAAAGAATGCAAGAGGAAATGATAGTGAGGGCCTAACATACATTCAAGTCCCAGAAGACAAAAAACAAAGCAACACAATTTGGATATTTCCAAATTAAATATTATTAA